GGGGGGGGGGGGGGGGGGGTGTGGGGTGCCTGCCACCTTTACTTTTTTTCTCTTCCTCTTGTCTTCCTCTTCCCAGCTGTGCTCCTCGGAAAAGCCTCATTACCGGGACGCACGTGACTTGCACTCTTGCACTCTGGGGCATCGAAATGACCCAGGTAATATTATAATGATATTATTTCTCTAGTGACCGTATTACACACACACAGAGGCACACGCTCCCACTCCTAAATCGGAAAGAGCGCACTGGCCTCTGATCTCCTGCCTCCCGCGCTGTTTCCTTATCAGCAGACGGGAGAAGAAAAGGTGCCCGACACTGACAGCCCGAACAGCGTCTGCTCTCTCCATGTACTCCGCATTGTGCTTGCGTGCCCTGTACGGGTCTGACAGGAGTGTCTTGAAGATATCATCAAGTATTTTTTTTAATCTATTTATCTCTTTCCTAAGGAGTATCGCACTATCAGTAAATCATACCCGTGACAGCCACCCGCCTCCCCCCCTTCCTCCTCTTCCTGTGTCGTCTTGTCTCGCTCCGTCTCTTCTCTCTCTCTCTTTCCTCTTTCTGTTTCTCAATATATCGTAGACCATCCATCTTCTCCTTTCCTCTACTCTCCTTTCTCCTCACCCGGAGAAGATCCGTTCAGCTGTGCACCGATCCTGACGGTCAAGCCCAAGCTTCGGACCCTCCCTGTCCACTCCCACCACCTCAGGGCAGAAGACACACACCACGTCATAGCCCCTTCACTCATCCAACGCTCCGCACGCAACTCTGCAAGGCACCGGCCAGCCGCCAACCACGACGCTACCAAAGTGAATGACCACCGGTGTACGCCCAGGCCCAGGCATACTCGTATGATATACTCCTCGGATAGCAGCACGCACCTGCAAGAGGGGACCGACGGTCATCGCATCACCTTCCACGTTCGGCGAGACGATATCCGACGACTACTCGTACCGTCATTTATTGCTGCCGAGATATCAAGTATCTTCACCCATCTGCGAGAGCCTGCGGCAGACCACGGGTACGGACGAGTACAGAGAGCGACGGAATAAGCCCTGCCCCGTTAGCGCAATCTACGAGTCGAGACGCCCTCTGTCGTCCCCGCTGTTCCGACAGGCAGGAGGACCCTCTGCCCACCTGTCATACGTCCTCGCGCTTTACGGCCACTTGGGTCCGGCTCCTGACGACGATTACGTACTGGATTCTCTTACCCTCTCTTCGATACCAACCGACTACGGAGACGGACAGTCGGAGACTCGTCGCTGTGCCCGAGGATTTCAGCCCACGCGAGCACACACACACACACACACACACATATGTATGCACACACACACACACACACACCTACCTTCTCTCTCAATCAATCGACGTAAAAAGATAAGGAGGAGGGAAGCGTTCGATACATCATCACGGTTCACAAGACCCGACACCATTCATCACCACCCCGACCATCACAATCCTCGCCTCCGCGACACTACCGCTCTGCTCAGCAGCTCTGCTCAGCAGCTGAGCGCCACCACCAGATCCGACGCCCACTCATCTCCCTAGACAGTGCCACGATCACACGCCTGTGGATCGGCCCTGCAGCGGGACCCCGTACAGGGTGACAGGGTCCGCGCCCACGCACACACACACACCCCTGGTCCCCCTCGCCCGGCGTCGGTACGAGGGTACAGGTACAGAGGGTACCGAGTACGACCACATGTACACGCGACGAGGCGCACACACCACACAGTGACCACACCACAGTGACCTCACTACCGAGTACAGCTACGGCGACCACGCTGTAGGTCGGAACCCCGGTTCGAGCCACCCATTAGCAATCATGATCTCCCCAAGGTCCTTTACCTACTCGCGTGGCCCTCACTCTCCTCGCTCCCCTTCTTCCCCATCTCCTACCTCCCTCTCCTCCTCGCCGTCCTCGCCTCTCGCATCACCCCTCTCGTCACCCCTCTCGTCACCCCTCTCGTCGCCCCTCTCGTCACCCCCGACCACCGACTACTCGTCACCTCTCGCTTACCGATTCCGAGACGACGACCGCCGCCGTCAGCGCCCCAAGGCTCCCACCGCTACCCCCACCGCCACGACGACGACAGCAACTGCCATCTCGTCCGATAAGACGTCTCCTTGGTCCGTAGCCAGAGGTGCTCTTACGAGTACGCATCATGACCGTCGCCCAGACCAGCCGTCTACCATCAGCAGCACGACAGCAGCCATCTTCTCCCTCTCTCCCTCTCCCGGCAACAGCACCGCCGTCTCGGTCGTAGGCGTCACGGGGAAACGCAGAGAGAGGCTCGGCAGCATGGGTCTCCCGTCGCCCATCAGCCCGCCCTGCGAAAAGGAACTCGGTGCCGGCATCCAGCGGCCGGCCACGCATTCGAGCCCCGTCCAGATCCCCAGCTCCGGGAACCGTCCCAGTGCTCACCACGCTCAGAACCGCCGTCCCGTGCGCCGTCACGGGGCCAGGCGCCCCCAGCCCGGCAACGATGACCTGTCACCTTCCGTCGCCGCTCTCCTGGCCCTCACCGACATCCCTCGTCACGGCTCCCAGCGCCGCCGTCCCCGGGGTGGGAGCGACAGACCGCTCACCGTCGACCAGGTCATCGACAGCCAGAATGTCTCGGAGAAGGAGCTGAGCCGCCATCTGAGCTCCGGGCTCATGGGCGTGCTGCTCTCCCCTCCGGACGAGTACGCGCCAGACGACGACGTCGGCGTCGGCGAGTGCAACATTGGCTCCGCCCTGTCGACCAGGACCGTCTCGGTCGACTCCATCCCGTCGCTGAGCGAGTCGTTCGCCACCGAGGGCGTCTCCTCCCTCGAGACTCCCGCCGGCCTGAGCTCGTCGCCGTCGCCGTCGCCGTCGCCGTCGCCGTCGTTCCGTCGCCGGAGACACAGTCCCATGCGCAGGTCCCTCGAGCCCGTCACCTCGCCGCCGGGGACCGACCACGTCGAGCACCCTCTGGCCAGGAAGCTGCACTGTGCCGGCCGCGACGACGAGGACGCCGTCGACGACGATGACGAGGACGCCATCGCCTCGCAGACGTCGCACAGCGGCTCCGAGACCGTCTCCTTCTTCATCCAGCAGTTCAAGCCGCTCAGGTACGCCTTCAGGTCCAACCTGACAGCCTCGTTCCGCGCCCTGCGATCCGCCGCCAGGTCCTTCTCGAGCATCAACATGTCGCCCATCCCCCCCGACCACCTGCTGGCGCGCTCCCTCCTCACCATCGACCCCGACGTGCCCTACGCCGACGAGCGCCGCCCGCCGGTCACGGAGGAGATACCGTCGGCCGAGCTGCGCCGCTACCTCAACCCCACGTCCACCTCGCGCATCGAGTCACAGTCCGCCACACCTTCGCCGTCGCCCCCGACCGCCTCCGCGTCTGCGGCCAAGCCGGCCGGGTCCTACTCGGCCTCCATCCAGATGCAGACGTACAAGGTGCGCCGCTCCAGCTCCAGCTCGGCCTCCGCGCCGCAGCAGCGGTCCTCGCCCTCGTCGCCACCGACCGCGGCCACGTCGACGTCGTCACAGGAGCCCCGCGCGCTGGCCCCCCCGGCCATGCGCCAGCGGGAGGTGCGTGAGAATTCCGACTTCATCCGCATCGCCGTCATGGAGATGGCCATGCGCAGACGCGGAAAGCTCGACGACCAACGCCCCGGACGCGCCCGCTGGGCCCTCCCGCCTCGGAAGACGTCCACGGCTCCCTACGAGATCGGTCCCAACGGTGTGCCTGCGCGGTGGAGATCGATCCGCCCCTAGACCGGCCTGGCCCGTCTGGGCTGTCTGGTGAGCAACCGACGACGGCACAGTCTGCCGCGGTGAGACCTATACGGAGCACACGCACACGCACGGCGCACGGCGCACACGCACACTCGCACACATACACATACACGCACATACACACACATACACACACATACACACACATACACACACATACACACACACACGCACATATACACACACATGCGCACTCGCGCACTCACGCACACACACACACCTATGACACACAACGCACACACGACGCCCATACGCTCAGCAGCCCCGAAACCTGAAGCTCGTACGACGTGGCGTCTCTGTGCACAAGTCGTACGAGGTCGATGGAAAGCCTCGGGGCGGCCGGGTGGGTGAGAGCTGCGCTGGGGCATACCATTACGAAACGGTTTCCAACCTGGACAACGGTATTCGTCGG